CCCTCACACGCTTCCCCGGCCTGTTGCCATTCCCACGACTGCCGCCCGGACATCTCACATCGGCTGCCGCGTCGCTCAATGGTGACTACTCGCCCGAAGCCATGATGGCAACGCCTCCGCGTTCCCGCCCGCGTGCCTAGGCCTGAACATGAGCGGTCATTCTGCTTGACGCGGACGGACACACTCCCCGACGTACGCACCCTTCCGATCCACCGGCCGCAACGCCCCCACATCGTCCGTTGCCCTTATCGCTATGGTGGCGACGCCTGCGTCGCACACAATGTCCCCGCACAACCAATGCTGCACCCGCGCTCGCGCCCATGCGTGCGCGTGCACATTTTCGTATTCACACCATTCGCGTGATTGCCCCTGTTCTTCGCGTCGCCCTGCACTGCGTGATCGGTGTCTTGGCTCTTCAGGTAAGTATGCGCCTGACCTCCGATTGCTCCTTATTCCCCGGTCAGTCTCTGTTGACGATCTCGCCTCACTCATATTCCTAACAGCTTGCTACGCCTGCTGCGCGACAACCTGGCATCAAGACGACTGCCCTCGACGGCAGCTACATCTAATTGTCGTCGTCGGGCGCAGATCGTCCACATCGTCGGCAGCCGTCGATCGGCCTCACAGCGCCTGCCATCAAACTACGCTGGACGCACACCCAATGGCACCTTCGTGCGTGCCGCCTCTGTCCCGCGCCGTCTCACTGATTCTGTCGCCGGCCGTCGCCTTACAAGACATACCGTGCGCGGCAATCGGTTCAGAGAATCCGCGATGCACGCGCTCCAATCATACTCACCTTTTGCGAACGTTACTATCTACTCACACACACACCCGCTATCTAGCCATTGGTCATCCCGCGTCACCCGTGTTCCGCACGCCCCGCCCCGCTCGCAGCCTGACGCCCCGGCATCTAGACGACGGCCCCTATTCGCGACTGCGTCCTCCCGCCGCTAGTGCTTCAGAGCGGCGACGAGGACGCGGATGGTCCGCACCGCCGCACGGATGGCGAGATGACTCAAGCGATCCGGCGAGGCGCAGACGTCTACAGATCACACGTCGCGGTAAGCATTTACATGGAGATCGATCATTGCCGGTCGCTCACCAGTTGACGCGACGCTCTGACCGGCTAGCCGTCAGTTTCCACGCGACCGCGGACTACTGAATCTCAACGAGCTACCGCCGGTCGCCCGCCTTGCTCAATCTGCGCAGCTGCGGCAGCGGTCCCTCGCGCTGGACACCATCAGCTCGGTCAGCTCGCCAGCACTCCCGCCGTCATCCAGACCGTCTGGCACGATCAGCTAGTGCACACTGCGGAAGGAAACGGATTGCAGCACACCTGCAACGGTGTACACGGTGAGTGGCATTCTATGACATGACGGCGGCTTACCTGACCAGCGTCCGGGAGCGCAGCACGTATGTGGCCGCGCCGGGCGAGCGAGACAGCGGGCGGGGCATAATACGAACGACAGCAGAGCAGAAGACGAGTCGTGAGCAGCAGAGGAGTCTCTGATGACGCCGCTCCTCCCCGCTTTTGATACCTCGTGTGCTCCCCCGACCTGGTTCCGTTCCCACGACTGCCGTCTGGATATCTCATCCAGGTGCGTCGCAACTGCCGCCGCGTCGCTACGCACTCACTCGCCCAACGGCAACTCTCCCCGCATCCCCGCCCGCGTACCTGGGCCTAGACGCGAGCGGTCGTGGATGGACACACTCACCGACGTATGCACCCCCCGATCTGCCGGCCGCAACGCGCCCATGCCGTCCGGCACCGTTATTGCTATGCAGGCGACGTCCGCATCGCACGCAGCATCCCCGCACGGCTGATGCTGTGCCCACGCTCACGCGTGCGTATCTTCATGTTCGCTCCCTGATCGGCGTCTTGGCTCTTTACGGATGCACCCGACACGATGTCTCCCTCGCGACGCACGTCATTTCGGCATGTCCCTTACGGGCTCCCCACGCGCTTTAGCGAGCTGGCCGCTGCTACGGCTCGCGCCTCTGCTGGGTTCTGAGGCGGGGAATGTGCATTGCGTCGGGTGACTGCCCTGACGCCTCCCGCCTCCTCGCTTTGTTTTGATATCTTGCGCGGCGTCCTGCTCACACTGTGGTGCGTCGTACCCCACAATCACACACATTGTCGCACTCCTCACGCCACGCGCGGACCAACTCAGCCCCCAGTGCCGATTGATCAAAGGCACATCATAAGTACACCCACCCACCTCCTCCGCGATCGCGCACATGAGTGAACTGAGACGAGGTGAGACGTGTAGAAACGAGCTGCACGGTAGGACGCAGCAGGCCGGTAGGAGCTGCATAGCTCGGTCGCGGTGACCGGTGCGCGCGGTCGACTCTGCGCAACGCCTGCGCGCGTACACCCGCGGTCAACGAACATGTATCATCGCACGCGATTGGCGGTGCATCCTCTGTATCGAGCCACGGATTGGTGTGAGTACAGCGGGCGAGGGCATGCTGGGATGGTCAGAGTGCTCACCGGGCCTACTACAGTGGGGCGACACATTGAGGGACTCCTGCTTGCAAGCTGCGGCACCACCGTCCAGCGAACCCTCACAGTACATGACAGTCAGATGCAGCGAGCGGTCAGTGGACCACACACGGACGTCGGAGCGCAGCATGACTCACCGAGGTGTTCAGAGAGGGCCTTGGAGCGTAGCGTGAGGCGGCAGTAGTGTGTGTACATATGCCAAGCAGCCAGACGCGGCGTGCGCTGTGTGGGAATGCGCGGTTAGCGGTCAGCGGATGCTCGAAAGAGGATGCAATGCAGAGCTTACCGTAGCAGGCGCA